GAGAGCAGGGCTTGGATGGAGAGTTAGGGGAGAGTTGCTGGGTTCCTGTTGCCCTGCCCTTAACCTGTAGCTTAGACTTCTGAACTGATTTGCAGAGGGAAGTTAAGATTGTGCCTGTCTCTTACAGGAACATGCATCAACAACACATCTGTGATGATGTTCAAAAAGGGGAGCTTCGAAATTGGAGCTACAGTTTACCCTGTAGCCATCAAGGTATGACAAGGCACAAGTCTGTCTGTCCCTCTGTACCTCTGTCCTGGCAGCCCAGCCCAGCCTGCTCTGAGGGCACAGGAAAGCTGAGGTCACTCCATGTAGTGAGCTGAGCTTTAGCTCAGTTTGGGGTGGAAGTTGGAGCCTCAGAGAGATTTCATGAACTCTTCTGCCTTTTAGTATGACCCACAGTTTGGAGATGCCTTTTGGAACAGCAGCAAGTATGGCATGGTGACCTACCTCCTGAGGATGATGACCAGCTGGGCCATTGTCTGCAGTGTCTGGTACTTGCCCCCAATGACCAGGCAGGTAAGTTGACCCAGATGTGTGACCACTTTCCTCTGTGTCCCTTTGCTCCTGCTGATCACTCTTGTTTTGCCCCAGCCTGAAGAGGATGCAGTGCAGTTTGCCAATCGAGTGAAGTCAGCCATTGCCAGGCAGGGGGGCCTTGTGGATCTGCTCTGGTGAGTCCCAGCAGGCTTTGCTCTTCCTGGTGCCAGAGTTCCTTGTCCTGGGATGTGCTCATGGGCTGCAGAACTCCATTTGTTTCTTGCTTAGAGTAGAATAGGGTAGGGTAAAGTTTTACCCCCTTGCTCAGGGTAGGGTAAAGTTCTACCCCCTTGCTTAGGGTAGGATAAAGTTCTACTCCCTTGATTAGGGTAGAGCAGGCCTCTGGAGGAATGTCCTTCTGTAGTAGGCACCAAAATCTTTGCCTCTTCTGTATGCTGGGCATCAGAGCTTCATTCTGTGATTGTGGCTTGCATTGGGATGCCCTGGATTTGGCTTGTTTCCTCTCAGCAAGGTGTGTTCAGTTTGGGAACCTGCTTTCCTAGGCACTGAGGGCTCAGAGCTCAGGAGGCAGGCTGGCACTCTCCTGTAGCTCTGCTAGAGTAGCTCATGTTTCTGGCAGAGTTGCTCTTTTGAGCACAGTGCAGGGCCCTGGGGGCAGCTCCTGGCAGAACCAGGTAAGGAAGGTGATCACACCTTTGGGGACAGGTGTGCCCTGGCAGCATGTGGCACTGGAATTCCGACTTGCCCAGATGAAGATGGTGCCTACCTGCAGCCTCTCTGATATGACTCTCTCCCCAGGGATGGAGGACTGAAAAGGGAGAAGGTGAAGGATGCTTTTAAGGAGGAGCAACAGAAACTCTACAGCAAAATGATTGTAGGCAGCCACGAGGACCGGAGCCGCTCCTGAGTGTGCTGCCTCCAGCACTGCCACCTGCTCCAGCACAGCCAGGGCTTGTCTGGGGAACTCTCAACTCAATCTTTGGACTTGGGCTCCTCCAGAGCTGCTGGGACTCACTTTTTCATCCTCTGGCTGTTGTTTTGAGGAGCACTAATGCTGCCTGGAGTCTTTAGGCAGCTCATGGCAAAGATGCCTTCTTGTTACTGTTACAGTGAAGCCCCTTGCAGGGGCAGTATTAAATGAAACTCTGATGGTGTCATGTGCTTCCATCCGGTGTGTCCAGCCCCAGGGAAGGACTGGGGTGATGTGCATGTGTGTCAGTCACAGGTCTCTCACAACACAAAAGCTGCTGAGCTGGGCTGAAATTGGCTGCCTTGACAACCAAGGGAATCCTCATCAGCCTGTCCCACTCACGTGTGAGGCACAAACCCCTTAGGAGCAGAATGTGCCTCTCAGGCCATTTTCAGATCCACTTCCAGGAGAAATCTTTTTCTTTTACCACTTTGCTGTCAGCTGGACCCAGACTGTTGCTTCTACAGTGTCTGAGTAGCAGCATCTTCACTGCTCCTGGTGCAGTAAGGATCACACTCCTTGGAAATCCTTTCCTTACTCCTTGGAAATCTCCCTCTGTCCCCTGGGGTTGTCCCTGGAGTGGCAGGTGGGGCTCCTGAGGAATCTGAACGTGCTATAGTGGGAGCCTGGAGTGTGTAGGAGAGCCCAAGGCTTCATGGCTAGGGCAGCAAATCCCTTTTCAGATGTCTCCTGAGGGAAACTGGCATCTGAGCTTGTCATGCACACATGGAAACGGAAATCTTGTGCTGGAGGTGGTGCCCCTTTCAGCTCTGCACATAAATTATTTGGTAAAACAACTTGCATTTGAGCATTTCTCCCATGTGGTTTCCCATTTTCCTCACATTCCTACAAACTTGAGCACTTGCACTGGGTTCTCTGCTCTTACAAGCAGGAGCTGTTTCACTGCTACCTGCTGAAACCTGCTTGCATTTTCTAGTGCTCTGGAGAAGGCACTTCCCCAAGTGCCTCCTTTGTACCTTCAGTGTTTGTTGGGAAGGGCATTGCTATGCCAGGTGAGGACAGCTGCTCTGTGTAAGTGGCCTTAAATCTGAATTTTCATTTTTTATCTACCTGATGGAACTTTGCTGCTCTGGCTGCCAGCTCAGGGGCCATTTGGATGAAGAGTCCTGGGGGGAGGCACAGTGAGTTGTGGGTTGCTGAGGCAGTGCTGTGGATGGCCCTGCAGCTGGGGACACACCTGGGGACAGGGACATCACTGCCTGCTCATCTCCTTCACTTCTCCCCATTCAGCAGCCCCTCCTGAGCCCTGCCAAGGGCTGTGTCCCCAGATCTCTCCTCTCTGAGGGTGGCACAGACATTTCCTCCCGGTGCTCAGCCTTGCCATGCCCTCAGGCACTTGGATCCAGCTGCAGGTGCCTGCAGAGCCAACCTGCAGAGCCCTCCTCAGCTCTGCAGGACATGCAGCCACCCTGCAGTGCTTGGGGACAGTCCCCAGCAGCATTCAGGACACTCCACAGCAGGCAAGGAGCTGGCTGGACAGGTTAGGAGGCACGCATCCATCTTCCCTTGCCTCTCCCACCCCATGCCCCCAGTCAATACGTCTCTCTCCGATGAGAAAGTTAATAAATTTAGCTCTAGATTAAAAGTATCGATCATTTCATTTGGAAGCCATAAATAACCGGGGGGGGAGCACTGGATGGCCCACAGGGTAGGGGCTGCTGGCTCTGGCTGCAGCAGCCGTGCACCCCACTGGGGCCAGGAGCCCTCATATGCATTCTGCCCGGCTGCTGGCATTGATTTGCTATTAGTCTCCACGCACCACCCAGTAGCACATCATTCCCGGAGCTGCTATTAATGGCCTTTTGATAAATAATCACTTGTAAGTCAATAAATTTTTATTAAACAGTGTGGCGCTTTGATTTATGAAAATCCGACGGGGTTTGTCTGCGAGAAAAGCGATGCGGAATTGAAGCGGAGCTGCCATCCATCTGCCTGCCAGCCTGGCCTGCTTGTGCTGCACCTCCTGTGTGCCTCCTGCCTCTGCCCACACGCCCTGAGGCTGCCTGGCACCGGGCACAGCCTGGCAGAGCTGCTGGCTGCTCCCCAGCACTGACGGGCACAGCAGCAATGCTCAAAGTGGGAACCACCAGGAGAATTGTCAGTCCTGCCCACCTGGCTGATCCCAGCGTGGCTCAGCACGGTTTGGGGTCCTGTCTCAACGTGGGATGCACAGGGCAGCCAGGCTGCAGCAGCCATTTGTCACTCTCCCTGGCTCCAGCAGGCCCTTTGCCACCTGCTTTATTTGTCTCCCAGCCCTGACGTGGCATCAGACAGGTGTTAAACTACTTAATCACTTTAAAATTGTTTTAATTTTCTGTTTTGTATTGATCTCCACAGCACCAATTAATCAGCTCACTGGACCAGGCAGTTAGTACATTAAAAATTGTCAGCCGAGCTGGGGGCAGCTTAGAAAATGTTAAAAAAATATCCCAGCAGCAGCAGCCCCTCACTTCTCCCACCATGTGGAACCTGCTGCTGCTGAGTGCTGGCTCTGTCCCCAGAGCGATGTGTCCCTTCCTGGTGGCACTGCCACCACACTCCCATGGGAGCTCCCTGCCATCCCAAAGCTCCATCAGCTCTGTCCTGGCCCAGCATCCGTCCCATGGATGCAGAGGGGCTGAGGGGGGAGCATTGTGAGCCCCTCATAATGCAGGGGCTGGACAGGGACCTGAGCAGGGACAGCAGTGCCCTAAGCTCTGCAAAAGTGGCACTGAGCACTCAGAGCTCCTTGTAAAGTGCCCAGAGCCCAGTGAGAGACTGAAAAGGGCTTTAAGCCAAGTGTGAGCCTTGTACAGCAATGATCTGCAGCCCCACACAAGGCTGGTGCTCAGACCCCAGTGTCCCAAGTGTGGACTCAGCCACATTTTGGGTGCTGCCTGCAGCCTCAGGCAGGGGCAGCCCTTCCCCAGCCCCACTCCTGCCCCTCTGCTGCTATCAGTGCCTTATCTGCTATCGATTTCCTTCCAAGACACAGCCCACGTGTTTGCTCACACCTGCCTGGCACTTAGCTGGCTCTTGGCTGAACAACTGCCAAGCTTGTTGTCTGTGCCAGCTGGAGCTCCTTTGGTGTCCTCAGCAGGTAAGGACAGCTGGCACCCACAGCTGGCATGCCACTGGTGAGCCAGAACAGGGGGTGTGCAGCCCCATGTGCACACAAATATCTGAATGTGCAGCCCCCCCTTGCACAAGGGTGCAGCACAGAGCAGGGGGGCACCCAACAGGTTGGCAGGCAAACACACTGGGGCTATTGATGCCACATCAATCCTGCAGCCCCGACAGGTGAATGGGCTCTCACTCACACTGTTAAGATAAATGATATTTATTTGCTGCTAAGAGCTTCCAGTAAGAGGCCCCAGTGAGTGACTTTTGAACCAGCAGCTCCTGCTGCTGGGTCACGCCCTGGGAAAATCTCCAGGGATCCCCTTCTTCTGTGGGCACCTCCTGTGCCACAGGCAGCACCAGACCCTGCCCCATCCATCCTATCCCCAACCCTTCTCTAGCCCAGCCTCACAAGGCCACCCTGGACCACGAAACAAGTGCTGGGACTTGACTGGCACCTTTATTTCATCAATGGCACAGCTGCACCTGCCACTACCAGCGTGCTGCTCCCAGCCCTGTGAGCTCCCCATGCAGCTCCATCCATCCCAGCCCATCCCAGCAGCCAGGCAGGGCTCTGTGCTGCTCAGGGGGGTTCAGAGGGGCCAGGCTGTGCCCCTGCTCAGCCGCTGTGAGTGCCCAAGCCCAGCATTGAGAAGGCTGCACGGTGCTTCCTCAGCAGCAGCCGGATCTTCTCGTCATCCGAGTCCGGGTCCAGGGGTTTGTTGTACTCATCGTCCTCGGTCTCGGAGGCTGCCCGCTCTCCGCCAGAGCCCCCCGCCCGCTGCGAGGATGAGGAGGGCTCCAGGGCGCTCTTCTTCCTCCATTTGGTCCGGCGGTTCTGGAACCAGACCTGGCGCCCCAGCTCGGTTAGCGGGCAGCACGCTGCGCGCCCCGACCGCGCAGGACGCCGTACTCACCTTCACCTGGGACTCGGTCATGCCCAGGGAATAGGCCAGCCGTGCCCGCTCCGGACCCGCCAGGTACTTGGTCTGCTCAAATGTCTTCTCCAGAGCAAAGATCTGGTGTCCTGTGAAGGTTGGGCGCGTGTGCTTCTTCTTGTGGATGCTGTCAGCCAGGTGAGCAGGGGCTACAGGAGAGGAAGGGAGAAGTGGGTGAGCTCTGGGCAGCCCACCACTCTGGACAACTCTCTGTCCACACTCAGTACCAGAGAATCCTTCCACCCCTGCTCCTCTGCAAATTAAAACTTTATTCCTGCTCCCCTGTCTCAAGAATAGGGCTGAGCTGCCCACTGTGGGGGTCCCACAGAGGTGGGGTAGGCACCTCCTGCTCAAGGACAGTGCTAAGTGGTTGTGCTCAGAGGGTAAGGGTTGCTATCAACAGTGCTTGACCCCAGAGCCATGGTGCAAACACTGTGCCCCCATGTCCCACACCTTGCATGATGCAGGACAGAAGACAGGTATTGGCTCGTGGCTGCCTCACCCATCCGCTCCAAAACCATCACCTGCAAAGGGCTGAAGGGGAGCAGAGCTGCAGGTTCTGAACAGCTGCACGCAACCTCCCACGGGACAGAGGATGCACCCATCCCACCCACCCTGTGGGACAGCAGCAACATTCTGCAATTCCCCTGACAGCTCTCCAGCAGTGCTGCCAGCCTGGGGCTCCTGCTCCTGCCTGTCTCTGCCATGAACCACCCAGGCACTGACCCCCGGTGAGGCTGCTTGAGAATCGGGGAGATCTTGTGAGCCAGAGCGCTCTGCCTGTCCTTGCCAGCTGTGGCTGCCTGGGGGCAAAGAATTGGCTCTAATGACAAATCCTGGCAGGAGTGGGGGCAGTTGGTGCTCTGGCCTCTGCTGTACATGCACGACTGGCTGTGTCCTCCCTCACCCCTTTCTTAGTGAGCTCTCTGTGGCTGTATGAAAGTCAGGAGCCTTATGTTTGTTCATGCAAACCCTCTCCCACTGCCCAGACACTCCCTGGCTCTGGGACACCGCTCCTGTTGCTTTGCTTTTGCAGTTTCCCACTGTGTGAAAGCAGCCACTATTTGCCATTAGAGCCAAAAAGTTCTGTGACCATTTTGAGGTCCAGCAACTCCAGCACTGGGCTCCTGGGTGAGCCCGCTGACCAACCTCATGCAGGGCAATGGAACAGACACAGCCTGGCCCATTCCCTCGCCTTAGTGCGGTTCTGCGGCACCACGGTGCCATCCCCACGGACCCCCCCGGGCCGCAGCAGCCGCTCCGAGCCCCCCGGTACTTACGGCCGCCGCACTGCCGGCCGCCCCGCCACTCCGGGGCCGCCTCCGCCCAGCAGCTCCGGCCCCTGGGCAGGTACTCGCCCCCGGCCTTGGGGAGGGCGCCCACCTGGGGCCCGTAATAGACGCCCGGCGAGCTCAGTCCGTTCAATCCGCCCGCGTGCGGGTACCCGGGGAGGATGCCGCCGTTCGGCGCCGCCGCGGGCCGGCCGAGGATGTCGGAGATGCCGTGCGGGGTGCCCGCAGCCAGCTGGGCGCCCAGCCCCGGGGGTGCCAGCTTGTAGAAGGAGCTCTGCACTGAGTACTGGCAAACGGGCGCCTTGGCCTCGGGGAAGGCGCCCAGCGAGGGGCCGTTGAGGAGGAAGGTGCCCGGCAGGTTGGCATCCATAGCTGCAGCAGCGAGGCGGCACTCAGAGCCCGTAACCCCGGAGGTGCGACGGCTGGGCCATCACCGCCGGTCTGCGGGCTGTGCAGAGCCCCGGGGTCCGCGGTGAGGCTGGCACGGGGGCTGCAGAGCCCCGGAATCCGCGCTGCCCGTGGGTGAAGTTGGCACGGGGGTCCCGGTGGGTCCCGGTGACCTCGGGGGGCTCCGGCCCCGGCCCCTCAAGTTGGGCTCGAGCAGCGCCAACATTTCTCTGATAAAGACGGGCTCATTAGAATAACACGCTGCCATTGGCCGCGCGGCTGCGGGCGGCGCGCTGATTGGTCAGGAGTCGGCGGCCGCGCCTCCCATTGGCTGAGCCGGGGCGGCAGCGCCTGATTGGTGAGGTCCAGATAAATGGCGCTTTGAACACAGGCGGCGGCGGGGACAGGACAGGACACGAGATATGGGACGGGAATGTGTTGGGATGGGATGGGATGGGATGGGATGGGACACAGGATACGGGACATGACATGACACGGGAATGGGTCGGGATGGATGGGAAGGGACGGGTTGGGATGGGACAGGACAAGATAGGACAGGACGCGGGGATGGGATGGGACGGGACAGGACATGACACGACACGACACGGGAATGGGTCTGGATGGATGGGATGGGATGGGACCCATGGTATGGGGTGGGATGGGACGGGACAGGACAGGACACTTCCGCAATCACCCACCCCGGGAGAGGCCCTTGCAGCCCCTCGGGGGCTCCTGCTCCCTTCAGCTGCCCCAGGAACGGCAGAAACGCGGCCGCCCCCGCCCTCCCGGCAAGAGGAACCCAGCCCCGGGCTCTCCATCATCCCCACCTTTGGAAAAGCAGACACGAGACACAGCTTGTGTTGATTTCTTTATTAATTCATATTCTGATAGCTGGTGTACAGGGAAATGATCTATACATCAGGGGGCCTAAGACAGGGAGATCCAAAAGGCTTGTTTCCATACCAATTAAAAAAAGAAAATAAAAGTAATCTTTAAAACTTCTAAAAAGCTTCTAGTGTGCAGACTGCAGCATTCTCTAGGCTCAATGTCGGGTGCAGCCTCCCCCTACCAGCCCTACAAGCAATCTGAGCGCGAAGCAATGTCACTGCAGGTGCCTGGCACGGTTCAGCACAGCACATTCCCTACGGCATACACAAGGCCAAAGCACTGGACCCACACACAACTCTAGGGTGATGCTACGGAGTCAGCTGTTGCAGTGGGCCTAGGGAGGTTACTGTACGCAGCGAGGGTGATGGATGGAGGCTCTGTGCCCGTATGGCTCAGCTTTGGGGCGGGGAGGGGACTGCTTTGCTCTCCGAGGCTGAGCTGGGTCGGTGGCTGGGCTGCAGCGAGGCTTTCGGGGCAGCCAGGGGCTCTCCCAGCAGATTGCACCCACTGAAAGGCAGGGCTGCCCTGCCGAGGCCACCAGCACACAGCCTGGAGCTGGAGGGGCGCTTGTTCTGCACCTGCCCACAGAGAACAGACTCGGGCTCTGCAAAGCAGTGGCCACCTCCAGGAGAAAGAGCAGGGGGTCCCCACATCACTGTGCTACAAAGGGCCAGGTCCCCACTTCAGCTGGGTAAAGGACAGGGGCAGGGACCTGGGAGCAAGTGCCACTACCTTCTCCCTGCTCTCCTGGGCTCAAGTATTACAGCAGGGTCAGCGTCCTGCCCAGCTCTGAGCTGCCTGGGCAGCTCTGCCCAGCACGGCTCTCCTGCTGCTAGAGCAGGAGATCCCACCAGGGCTCAGGCAGATTCCACCTGGAGGAAACGCAGCCACCGGGGCAGCAGCAGCTCCCGTGGCTCTGGGTTTGGTCCCGGGACAGTCGGATCCAGGGCTGTTCACCCCCCTTGCAGGCAGGCCAGGCTCCCTGCAAAGCCCTTGCCTGGGGTGCGTATTGCACAGCTGCTGGCTATTGCTAGCTCCTGGCTCATCTCCTGAGCAGATATTGTGCTGAGTAGAGCTAGGCACAACCCCACGTCGTGGCACGAGCACCTCCTGCTCTCTCTCTCTCTCTGCACATCCTCCCTCGGGCCCCGAGCACCTCAGCGCAGCTGGAGCCAACACAAACTGCTGGCACTGCACCTCTAATCCCCCTCTTCAGGCCAGGAAAGGGGCCAGGCTCAGGCAGAGGGGCACAGGACAGGGGCAGGCTGCTGCCCTCTCGCTCCCACAGCCTTCCTGCTCAAATATTTCCCAAAGGCTTTGCCCACCCTGCAGCCTGAAGAGGTATATGAGAGCAGAGCTGTCAGTGCTTTGTACATACTGCTAGAGTGTCCCTAGGGGTTTGCATAGTATTTATTGGTTCATATACACAAGGCTGATTGCTGTACAGTTTTACACTTTCGACAGAAGCGACGAGCTCAGTGCGCTCTGCCCTGCTGGGAGGCTCTGCACGTGCTGGGGAGAGGAAGGGCAGCCCTGCAGCAGCCCCTCTGTCCCTGCAGCCTCCCCTGGCACCTCCGGCCACTGCTGCCCTCCCCAGAACCCAACACTCACAGGGAGGGATGAGAAGCAAGTCCAGCAGAGGCAGCACAGGCATTTGCAGGGGGGCCAAGCACCTCTCCTTCCACGCTGAGCTGGGCCATGCTGTGCCAGCTTTCCGCCTGCAGCTGGAGCTGGATCTGGAGCTCACACCTGGGGATGCATCCACGCATGGAGGTGCAATCTCCTTCCTTCTCCTTTTCTTCTGCTCCAGCTCTTGCCTCCCCAAGGAGCTGAGAGCAGGCCCCTGGTGTGTGGTGCTGTCTCTGGGGCAAGGATGGAGGCCCCTCATCTGTTTGAAGAACTGTAGCTCATGCGTCTTGCAGTCAGTCAGTCATGCGGATAGGAGGGTAAGTATATCTCATACAGGAATCATGCCATTAGCCTATAGAAACATGTACAGCCAGCCCTGCTCCCCTCCACTCTCTGCTCTCCTCTCCTCTCTCCTCAGGGATGTGTCAGAACGTGGGTGAAGTTCAGTGGTTTGGTGTTGAGGTGTGATCCTGGGGAGAGAGACACAGAAATGGGGTTACCAGGGATCCATGGCGGCACATCCAGGGTTAATGGTGGATGGGGAGCCCCTTCTGTACACTGTGCTTGTCCCACATGCACCCAAGACAAGATCTGGGGGGTGCCAGACAGTGACAGAGCAGCACTAAGTGGCAGGCCTGGAGCTGGGAGCAATGACATGGGTGGCACGGATGGTGCTGCCCCATCTGCACAGACAAAAATGATAGGAAAATGGTGCAGCTAGGCTCAAATGTGCTGTGCCAAGCACCCTGCCCTCAACCGGGCCTGGTCCCACTCTGCAGGGGGATCAGGGAATGCACAAGCTCATTCTGAGCTCAGTGAGGATCAACGGAAGAAACGTCCCAGGTCAAAGGAGGGTGCCCTCTTGTCAGCCCCTACAAGTGCCACATTCCTGCAGCACCTGCCAACGCCTGCCCCCATCCTGCCCTCAGCAGAATCAATGCTTTCCTCTGCATGGCTGGCAGAGGCAGCAGCTGCATGTCCCACTGCAGTGCTGTGAGCAGAAGGAGCAGCCCCAGCCCCACAAAACCCACCCTGCATCTCACCCACAGCTCTGCCAGGGCTCAGCTGCACCCCTTGGGAAGGGGCACACCAAAGGGCACAACGAGGGCTGCTCTCATCTGCCACAAGGCTGCACACTCAGTGCTCATGCATGAAGGGGGAAGTTCTGCTCACACCCCATGCAAATGCAATGTAGTCCCTGGACAAACACCATCCCTCAAGTCCCTGTAGTGACTTGGACAAAGACCATCCCTGTGTCTGTAGCCCAGACCCTGTCACTGGGGACCATCTCAGTGTGCTGCCACTGCAGGAGCAGCCCTTGGCACCGTGGCTGCATTGGGGTGCAATGCACACAGCTGACTGCAGCATCACTGCAGACCAGGGCACCCTGTGCCCACAGTGCCAGGGCACACTGCTGCCCACCCTCAGTGCTTTTCTGCGGCACAGCAAACCCTTGGTGCCCCCAAGAGCTGGGCACTCCCCCACCACCATTCCCCCAGGAGAATGTGCACGACCAGCGGCTCAGTGCAGGCAGGCAGGACAGAAGGAAGAGCAAAGGCAGGGTTACCTCAAAAAAGAGGCCATTTGAGGGGGGTCACTGCTTCCCCCTTTTCAGGCTGGCTCGTTTCACTATCTGAGCCCCCATCCTGCCCCCAGAGACCTCTGGCTTCGGGACACGCACTCGCACCTCCTCCTGAGGGAGCCGAAGGGGCAGGGAGCAGGACATCACCCAGACAGACAGACAGACAGACAGACACAGAGAAAAGGACAGGAAAGGAAAGGCAGAGTCAGTTGGCAGGCAGAAAACACCGAGCAAGAAGATTGGCACAGTGGGCATGATTTGCTTTAGAAATCTTAGAAGGGAAACAGGAGAGGAAGCAGGAAGGACAGAGGGTGACATTGACCCTGCAGAGCCCTGCAGAAACCCAGGGCTGTGAGCCACGCCGTACCTTGGCGCCCAGACCATCCCGGTGCAGGATGGAGTATTTCATGAAGTGATCCTCGTCAGCCTCCAGGTCCGGGTGCTCCTGCAGGGAGCCCTCCAGGATCAGCTCCTCCTGCTCCTGCCTGTCACCCATGTCACCAGGGCCCAGCTGGCGCACCACCTTCCGGATAATCTGTGGGGACCCGCACGGAGCTGGGTGTCACAGCCAGCCCCGGGGCACCAGCAGCCCCTGCTCACCCTGCCCGCGGTGTGAGAGAGCTGGAGAAATGCCGCGAGTGTAACCCAAGACAGCGGCACAGCAATCAATGCCCTACATGGGCTGCAGGGTGCAGGGGACCAGGGAAAGGCTGGAGGGTGGAAGGGAGAAGGAAAGGCTGGAGGGGAGAAGGGAAAGGCTGGAGGGGAGAAGGGAAAGGTGCAGGGCTGGAGGGGAGAAGGGAAAGGCTGGAGGGGAGAAGGGAAAGGCTGGAAGGGAGAAGGGAAAGGCTGCAGGGTGGAGAGGAGAAGAGACAGGCTGGAAGGGAGAAGGGAAAGGCTGGAAGGGAGAAGGGAAAGGCTGCTGGGTGGAAAGGAGAAGGGAGAAGGGAAAGGCTGGAAAGGAGAAGGGAAAGGCTGCAGGGTGGAGAGGAGAAGAGACAGGCTGGAAGGGAGAAGGGAAAGGCTGGAAGGGAGAAGGGAAAGGCTGCTGGGTGGAAAGGAGAAGGGAGAAGGGAAAGGCTGCAGGGTGTGGAAGGGAGAAGGGAAAGGCTGGAAGGGGAGAAGGGAAAGGCTACAGGGGAGAAAGGAAAGGCTGCAGGGTGAAGGGGAGAAGGGAAAGGCATACCCATACCCATACCCATACCCTTACCCATACCCCTACCGTGATCACTCACTCACCTTCTTGGTGATGATATTGCCTTGATCGTCCGTGAACTGCTCCTCAGTCACCTGCTCTCCAGGCAGATGAAGGGCTTCATTCCCCTGCGGGAACAGCAATGGGGAGATCAGGGCTTGTGAGGGCGGTGAGGGGAGTGGTTTACCTGGCAGGACAGCACACCTGACATGCACCCCATCCATCCCTGCTTTCCTCTGCATCTGCCCGGGGCTGCTCTCTCCGCTCCCGTTACCTTCAGCAGGACCCTCCGGCGGACCACCCTGGCGGAGAGAGCCTCCTCATCATCCGCCAGCCCCTGGCTCTCGCCGAGCTCCTTGTCCAGCTCGCGGTGGGCGTGCTTGAGCAGGAAGCGCACCGAGCCGCGGACGATGTGCATCACGTTCTGGCAGCTGACCAGCAGGAAGGCCAGCAGCACCAGAGCGATCAGCAGCTGGGCCAGGAAAGCCCACATGGTGCCCGCTACGGCGGTCAGAGCCCGGCCATGCCGCCTGCCCGAGGCTCTCGGTGGGCGGCGAGAAGGGAGCGGGCAGGGGGAGCGTCCTGGGCGGTCACATGTGGATGGGAGTGCCCGGACAGGGAGAGCCGGACTGATCTGTCCCTGTTCTCTGTCACCCGGCCAGGCACTGAGCAGGACAGAGCTGTCCCATAGCCAGGCGGAGAGCAGGACAGATCTGTCCCTCTGCTCTGTCACCCTGCCCAACATCCTGTCCCCAGTGGGCAGGACAGAGCTATCCTTCTGTCACCCTGCCCAACAGCCTGTCCCATGGCCAGGGAGAGCAGGACAGATCTGTCCCTCTTCTCTGTCAGCTTTTCCAACAGCCTGTCCCCCTGACTACAGCAGACAGCAGGAAAGATCTGTGCCTCTTCTCTGTCCCCCTGACTCTATGGCAGTGAGCAGAACAGACCTGTCCCTCTGTCAGCTTGCACAACAGCCTGTCCCATGGCCAGGAGAGCAGGACAGATCTGTCCCTCTTTTCTATCAGCTTGTCCAACAGCCTGTCCCATGGCCAGGCAGAAAGCACGACATATCTGTCCTTTTTCCCCATCAGCTTTTCCAACAGCCTGTCCCCTTGACTATGGCAGTGAGCAGGACAGATCTGTCCCCCTGTCACCCTGCCCAAAGCTTGTCCCAAGCCAGGCAGTGAGCAGACAGATCTGTCCCTCTGTCAACTTTTCCAACAGCCTGTCCCATACCCAGTCAGAGAGCAGGAAAGATCTGTCCCTGTTCTCTGTCCCCCTGACTATGGCAGAGAGCAGGACAGACCTGTCCCTCTGCTCTGTCACCCAGCCTGTCCCATGAACAGGGAGAGCACGACAGATTTGTCCCTGTTCTCTGTCCCCCTGACCATGGTAGTGAGCAGGGCAGATTTGTCCCTTTCTCTGTCACCCTGCCCAACATCCTGTCCCCATGACTATGATGGGCAGTCCTCCATCACAGGATAAATGAAGCCCAGGGTGTTGGGGTGTCATTGGAATCACACCTGTCTCAGGTGACCCAGAGCTGAGCAGCCACCTCCAAGTGTGGCCGTGTGTGCCCTGGCTGGGGAAAGGTGCTCCCCCTCACCTTGTACCTGCTGGCTCTGTGTGCCCCTGGCATCCAGCCCACCACCCAGCCTGGCCCCGAGATTATTTCTGGCTCCAGCAGGCTGCTGGGCTGCCAGCCAGGGCAGATCCTCAGTAAGGAACGGCTCTGGGAGGGTGACTGGGTTATAAACGGAGAGCAAGAGCTCAGGTGTCAAGCCCAGCAGGCTATTCTGGGCTGAGAGGCACCCCAAAGGGCAGGAAGTATTCCAGGGGAGCTGAGGAGGTCTGCTGTCACCTGGTCTGCCTGACAGGGCTCCAGCAAGGGCTGTCCATGGGGTCACACCTTCCTGCAGGGCTGACTCCCCTGCTCCTGCTCTCACCTGCCCAAAGAAGCGGCTCTGGGGCTCCTCCTGCCAGCCGCCCGTGGGGTGCTGGGGCTGCCACTCGCTGTCCTCGGCAGAGCTGACCCTCAGCAGCTCCGTGGGTGCCACCAGGACCTGCCCTTGCTGCTGGCCCTGCGCCCCGGAGGCTGTGCTGTGCGTTGGGAGCAGCCTTCGGGTGACTCCCTCCTGCCAGGAGCCCGCTGTCAGGTCCTGTAGGCAGGAGATAAAGGAGCCTTCTGCATTCCAGTCCCTCAGCCTGGGCACCAGAGAGGGACAGGGACAGGGAGAGAGAGACAGAGAGAGAGAGGGGCAAGTCAGCTTTGCACGGAGTGCTGCACCCTGAGCAGCAGCCGAGCTCGGGCAGGCACCACCTGCATCACACCTGCACCCCACGGGCACACCAGCATCACACCTGCACCACACCTGCACCCCACAGGCACACCTGCACCCCACCTGTACCCCGCACCTGCACCCCACGGGCACCACCTGCACCTGGCAGAAGCAGCACAAGGCACGCAGATGCACAAAAGGCACAGGCCACCTCCATGCCATGCTCCCTGCCCATCCCACAGCCTCACAGCTTGGTGGCCTGTCGCAGACATCTTTTCATGAAAAATCCTCTCCTTTAGGATTTTTCCTCCTGAGAAGCTGGGAGGCCTCAGGGACAAAATGTAAACAATGGTTATCTGCTGCTGTGGAATGCAACAGGTGCATCTGGGATTGGTCTCATGTGGTTGTTTCTAATTAATGGCCAATCACAGTCAGCTGGCTCAGAGAGCCAAGCCACAAACCTTTGTTATCATTCCTATTCTATTCTATTCTATTCTATTCTATTCTATTCTATTCTATTCTATTCTATTCTATTCTTGGCTAGCCTTCTGATGAAACTTTTTCTTCTATTCTTTTAGTATAGTTTTAGTGTAATATATATCATAAAATAATAAATCAGCCTGCTGAAACATGGAGTCAGATCCTCCTCTCTCACCTCATCTGTAAATCCCTGTGAACACAGTCACAGTGGCCAGGGGCTGAGGCAAGAGCATGCTGTGCTCTCGTGATCCAGTGTGGTCTAGCTCTAATTCTAATGTGGTCTAATGCTGTGGGGCATTTCTGGGTGCTGCCAAGGACTTCATGGGTCCAGTGCCACTGGGAATGTGATGTCACCCTGAATTTTTAAGATTTTCTAAGCCTTCTGATGCTTACATTCTCATAACGAACTTTCTCACACACTTTCTGTAAATAACTCATTGTTTTGCATTCCTTTATGGAGGAGGAGGAATCTGATGGGCTGTTGGTTTGTCCAGTGTCATTGGAGAGGTGGCACTGTCACCTTCCAATCCACTGTCACCTTTCTGTAAATATCTCATTGTTTTGCATTCTTTTATACAGGAGGAGAAATTTGATGGATTGTTGGTTTGTCCGGTGTCATTAGAGAGGTGGCACTGTCACCCTCCAACCCACTGCAACTTTTGGAAAACTATAAATGTTGGGAAATAAACTTCCCTTTTTCCTTCACCTTGAGAGCAGTGGTGTGTGTGCTCGTGTTCTTTCATGTCCTACAGTGACAATGTGGGAGGAGGCAGCCCAGGTTAGGGTCAGCTCTCCTAAGTACACCCTCCATGCAGGGCCTGGCTGACTGGGGCTCTCTTCCAGAGCATTTCCAGAGAGGAATGAGGCCCAGCCATGGTTCTGTGCACTGCAGATGCCTGGGCTGCAGAGCTGGAGAGCAGCAGGGAAGCAAGCAAAGCAGGGAGATCATTGCAGCTGGCCCAGCACAGGGCAGTAGCTGGCAAAGCAGTTTTGTGCTCCCCTGGCACGCTCACCCAGGCTGCAGTACCTGTCTGCACTCTTCTCCACTTCATGGCTAAAGGTGGGTGATGTCAAGATCCTGGTTTGCACCTTCTCCTGAACTGAAACAAAAGAGACTTCACTCTCCGGGTCCTGCTCCCCAGTCCCTGCTTGATGATGATCACCAGATGGCATCTTCCCCTCTGGCCTGTGCCCCTCCTCCTGCTCTAGGAGGTCAATCAGCCCATTCATGGCATCTGAGTCCACTGTGTCATCCTCAACCAGGTCCATGGAGCCCATGTGGTCTGGGCCATGAGCATCTGCCAGGAGCTGCCCTGGGAAGCGTCCTTCGCTCGTGGCATCCGAGTCCTCCGCCTTGCTGCACTCCAGAGAGGAGTCCTCAGCAGTCACCAGCGAGGGGGTGAGCCCCGAGGACCACACCTGCATGTCGGACATCTCCATCAGGGCATCCTGCTCAGTGGCAGCCATGGGGATAGCATCCATGATGGCCACCTCATTCCAGTACTGGTCGGCACGCAGCGGGGATGGCAGTGTGTAATGCAGGGAGGCAGGGGACAGCAGCTCGTCCTGCAGCGAAGCGTAACCTAAATGGGCAGACAGAGGCATCATCATGTCCAGCAGCCGCCCTCAGGCACGCACAAGCACAGTGGGGGCAAAAAGGGACACAGCTTTCGGGAGGGATGGCAGCCCCAAGGACAGCGATGGGCATGCCCCAGCCCCAGGGCCAGGCTGAGCGGGGCTGCGCTCACAGCAGAGCTCACAGGGTCCCTGCAGATGCTGCCATGCCTCCCTTCACATCCTGGGGCTGCTTTGGGCAGGTCCTGGGGCTGCCTCCTCCCCATGAGGAGGGCTGGCCTGGTCTTCACACGGTTCTCCATCTGCACTGCAGGACACAGTGCCCTCTTTGCTACCCTGCTCCATCAGACCCCCTGGCCCCTGCCCACAGCCCTCATCCAGCACCAGCTGGCCATTAGCCTCGAGTAGGCATCGACTCTCAAAGCCAAACACTCCACACAGCACAGAGGAGCGGGTTGGAAGGACCATGAGCAGAGAAGGATGGCCCCAGAGCATGCCATGCATCCCCAAGGCCCTGCAGAAGGCAGCCAGGGCCTCACAACCCCGCTGGTGTCTGCAGGGCCACAAACCATTGCCATGTCTCATGCCCAGGGCCATGTGCACAGCTCTACACGAACCACAACCAAGCCAGGCACTCCCACCCATGCAGGTGGCTCTGCTCAGCCTTTTCCAGCTTTCAGCCACTTTTTCACCCCTGGATTTCAGCAGAGAAGCTGTTCTGCTGCCCAGGGAGTGCCAGCCACAGCCAAGGCACAGGAAGGGCACCTCACCCATGGGCAGGGGCATGCAGAGCAGTGCCAGCAGGGCAAGGAGCTTGGCATTGTGCAGAAGAAGGCCTGGGATGGCTGCCTGCAAGCGTGGCAGCTGTCAGAGGGGCAGTCCCTGGTGCCATGCAGTCGCTGGATGCGGCTCCCAGAGGGCTTATCTGAGGTGGAGACAGTGGAGACAGGCAGTGGAGGATGAGAGAAGGAGAGGCCAGGATGAGCTCAGAGGAGAAAGATGAAAAGAAGTGACCCACAGGAGGAGTGCCCGCACCTGGCAGCGCTAGGTGGCATGTTTGAGAAAACAGAACAAGGGGAGAGACAGAGAGGGAGAGAGCCATGAGCCGGCACTGCAGGGCCGCAGTGCAGGGCTGCAGCAGCACAAAGCCCTGCCCGTGTCTGCTGTGCTGGCTCCCCAGCAGCATGTGCCACAGCCTGCTCTGGCTGTGTCCCCACATCCAGGCCCCCTCTGCCTGGCACCCACCACCAGGGCTCAGTGAGCTCCACTGACCAGCCAGAGACACCTCTCACCTCTCATGTGGGATGAGGAGCACATCTCAACCCCAGCTGGGGAGTTCCTGAGAAAGCAGCATGGCAGAGCCAAGCTTTCTGCAGCACCCGCCCCACTGAAGAGGCCGCATCTGCCAGCAAAGTGCCCACTCACTCCTCAGTGGGTGCAACCTGCTCAGGCAAGACCCCAGCCCCAATCTCTGCACAAACTGTGCCCCCAGGGCCCTCCTGCGTTCCCCTGGCAGAAGATGGGGCTCACCATTCATCTGGGACGGGGAGAGGGAGTAATCCCTGTCCGAGTAGCGCCAGCTCCCCTTGAGGCTGCGGCTCTGCCGGCCCGAGCCCTCCAGCATGTTGACGATCTCGCTGCGGTCGATGTTCCTCAGCGCCGTGTACAGGTTCTCAACTGCAGGGGGAAACGTGGTTGTCACTTGGGGAGCGTGAAAAATGCATGTGTTTTATGATTGGCTTTTTGCAAATATTGAAATGAGTATTGTATGTGCTGTGTTGGAAAGTGTTGCTGTGTTAATTCTCTTAAGCGCTGTGTTAAATATAGTTTTAGGTTGTAAAAATTGGTATAATAGAAACGATGCTATGTAGGATACTTTTTTAAAAGAAAGGACTTGCAGTGAGATAGCAGCCACAGGATACCTGAATCTTTCAGAGAAAAAGAATTTATTGCTCTCTTATCAGAAGAAACGAACTTCTTCCCGCCTCGAAGGCGCTGTTAGGATTCAGAGGAAGAAGCTGAGGATGACCAGACAGAATCCTGTGTTTGAATGGAATTTATGCATCATGTATGAGGTGCATAAATATGCAACAGGATGTTGTTTTTAAGGGTTAATCCTCTGTTAACGTGGGTCCTTTTTGCCCAGAAAAAGGCACCCAGACGTCCATAACTCTCTGTTTCTATTGTCTCATATTGTCCTAATTCAAACTGTCCAAATTATTATTACTCTAATTGTATTCCTATTTTTATAACCATTTCATTACCATTAAACTTTTAAAATTTTAAAAACAAGCCATTGGCGTTTTTCACAGGGAGGCACAGCCATGCCCCAGACACCCTCCAGGTGGGCAGGGAAGGCAGGTATACATGGACCAGCACTGCAAAGGCAGCCAGGGGTCCTTGGAGATGCACACAGTGCCCTGCCACCCCTGTGCCTGTGGAAGGGCACCACAGCTACTCACTCTTGACGTTCTTGCCCTCACGGCTGGCCCAGAGGTTGAGTAAGGCGATGCTCTGCTCCAGGAGGGAGTTGGGGTTCTCCACACGTATCCTGTTGATGTCGTCCACGCCGAACTGCAGCTCACGCGCCAGCTCTGGGGAAAACACTGGTCAGTATCACACCTTATAACCCATCACCAGGCTGGGGATGCTGTGAATGGTTCAGCCAGTGAGGAAGCAGTGCAGAGACCTCTGTTCCATACAGCTGAACACAGCAGAACATGCAGGAGCTGGGATGGGGCAAGGGTTGAAGCCCCCTTGCTGTGACTAGCACAGGAGGGTCTCATGCTAAAAACTGTGGGCTCGTTGGATGTGTGGCAGCAATGAAGAGCTGTACAAGTCATGACAAAGCCCTAGCCTGGTAGCCATGCATGAGAATATGTGCAGAACCACAGGAAGGTTCATTTCAGTGCCCTGGAATGCTCACAGCTGGGGTGCCCTGTCACAGACATCTTTTATGAAAAATCCTTTCCTTAGGATTTTTCCTTCTGAGAAGCTGAGAGGCCTCAGGAACAAAATGTAAACATTGATTATCTGCTGCTGTGTAATGCAACAGGTGCATCTGTGATTGGTCTCATGTTGGATGTTTTTAATTAATGGCCAATCACAGCCCAGCTGGCTCAGACAGAGAATCCAAACCACAAACCTTTGTTATCATTCTTTTCTATTCTTAGCTTAGCTAGCCTTCTGATGAAACCTTTTCTTCTATTCCTTTAGTATAGTTTTAATGTAATATATATCATAAAATAATAAATCAAGCCTTCTGAAACATGGAGTCAGATCCTCATCTCTTCCCTCATCTGAAAACCCCTGAACACCGTCACAGGGCACTGCAAAGCAGCCACTTCCAGCACACTGCCAGCCTCCCTAAGTGCCAGCTTTCCCAGCAGTGCTGTGCATCCCCAGAACCCTCAGGTGTGCACTCACCAGCCCAGCTGAGGCCCAGCTGCTCTGCTATGTCAACCATCTTCTGGTCTGCCTTGTCTGTGCTGCTCAGAGAGCCTGGAAGGGGAGAAGGAGTCACAGTCACAGCTCAGCTGCACAGGGCCCTGCAGCAGAGCAGTGAGGGGAAGGGGTGCTGGCCCTGGGGGTCACACAGACCCTGCAGGCAGCACCAAGGGAACCTCCAGGGCAAGGGGAGTTGCTGTGAGTGCAACTACGACAGGATCATCCCAGCTTTGCAGGTGGTGAGTGGGCTGGGATGGTCCCAGCAGGCTGCATACCAAAACTGGTCTCACTTAGGATGCTGTATCGCTCCCGCAGGGACAATGGGGTCAGTGTCCTCCTTCGCTCCTCACTGCCACTTCCCTGTGAAGGTGGTGACAAACCAAGGGGTCAGCTTGAAGAGAGGGCAGCAGCTCTGCCCTGACAAGGCTGCTTCTCCTTCACCTTCTGAGTGGCCTGGCATGGCCACGTGGAGCAGGTGAGGACACCAAGGGCTGTCCCCTGCGCTTGGAGAAGGGATGGGCCCAACCAGAGTGCCAAAGGCCCTGCACTGACCTTGCTGCAGGGTGGGATGGTGATGTTCAGGTGGCAGAGCACGTGCTGCAGGTCCTCGTATTTCATGGCCTTGCGCAGGAAGGACAGGGAGCCACTGGCTTCCCTGCTGCTGTCCCTGACCTGAGTGCAGAGCCCAGTTAGGTGCCTTGGCACCAGCCAAGGGCCCTAAATGCTTGCCCAGCCTTGTACCCTGACATTACCTTGATGGGAATGACGAGACGGTTCTCGCGGAAGGACTGGAAGAGGAAGGTGCGGGGCTGAGCCGCCTTCTTGACAGGCACCAGGTTCCCTGAGAGTTCCACGTGCAAAGGCATTCCCTCCACCACCTGGCCAGAGCAGAAAATATCCTCAGAGCCTGTGCAGAGCTGCTTCAGGGCAGGTAACCTTGACTCTCCCAGCCAGGCCAGGGCCAGCCCCTTCCACTGGTATCAGTCTCTGTCACACACATATTTTATGAAAAATCCTTTCCTTAGGAATTTTTTCTCCTGAGAAGCTGAGAGGCATCAGGAACAAACAATTATTATCTGCTGCTGTGGAATGCAACAGGTGCATCTGTGATTGCTCTCATGTGGGTGTTTCTAATTAATGGCCAATCACAGTCAGCTGGCTTGGACTCTGTCCGAGACACAAGCTTTTGTTATCATTCATTCCTTTTCTATTCTTAGCTAGCCTTCTGATGAAATACGTTCTTCTATTCTTTTAGTATAGTTTTAATGTAATTTATATCATAAAATAATAAATCGGCCTTCTAAAACATGGAGTCAGAGCCTCACCTCTTTCCTCATCCTTGGACCCCTGCGAACACGGTCACAGATCTCCCCTCACTTTGTTGTCCCTCTCCCCTCCCTTTGTTATCCCTCTCCCCTCCACACACGCTGCTGAGGGGACAAACCTCGATGTCCCTGCTGCGGGCCACCTCAGTGAAGTTCTCATGCTGCTCCAAAGTCTTGTCCACCTTGTCGTCAGTCATGCAGTAGCAGCGCAGCCGGCCCTCCCTCGCGTCGTTCATCTTGGCAAACACCACGAATTTGGCCATGTAGGGCACGGCTGTCAGCTCCTTGTACAGCATGGTGGCAAAGTGCACGGCCTCAGCTGTGCGTGGGCAGTCGGCCAGCCAGAACCTGCAGGAGAATTTGGGTCAGGGGGCTGCTGGGCAGTGGCAGCTGCCCCCTACACCCCTCAATTGTCACCATCATATTTTCTGAAAAATCCTCTTTGCCCAGGATTTTTCTGTTGAGAAGCTGAGAAGCCTCAGAGAAAAAGGAAAACAATACTATCTCATTTGCTTCTCCTGTGTTTTGCTGCTTTGGAATGTGGTTTGGAGATTGTTTATCCAACATGGGAATGGTTTTGACTTAATAATCGCAGTCAGGCTGTGTCGGGACTCTGGAAGGAGTCATGAGATTTCATTATCATTCTTTGTAGTCTTCTGCCTGTATCTTTTCTCTTTTATTTAGTATAGTTTTAGTGCAGCGAATAGAATAGAATAGAATAGAATAGAATAGAATAGAATAGAATAGAATAGAATAATAAATTAGCCTTCTAAGAACATGGAGTCAGATTCATCATTCCTCCATCCAGGGTACCCCAAAAATCCCACACTCAACACCCAACTGGACTGCAAAGGAAGCCCCAAGATTTCTGGACACAGGGTGTAGCCCCACCTTGGATGGGGACCCAGCCAAGTACAAATAATGATCCCCTTCCTTCTGCACACCCAGCTGTCATGACTGTTTCCACAAGTTTGCTCAGGGGGTCGCAAAGCTAGAGGAAACCACCCTGCATGTAGGAATAGCCCCAGGGGTAAGGGGCTTCTCCTGCCAAAGGCTGTAGCACGGCCCAAGGAGCACCAGATATCGTTGGGTGGGCACAATTTTGCCCAGGGCTCACCTGGCAGACACATTGGTGGTAAAATTAGCACACTCATTTTCATAGATTAGCTTTGTGGTGCCTGTTATGTCTTCCCACTGGGCTTGGGCTGTCCCTCCTGTAGAAGAAAGAAAGGGTGAGCATACTGTCTTTCCATCTATTTTTTATACATCTATTTCTTTTATCTTGATTTTTTTTTTTTGGTCAAATAATTAAACTCTATATCCCTACATTATCCAAATCACTTGTCATCAATGCACCTTCAATCAACCTTCCTCCATATTTTCTACTATCAAAAATAATGATCAACCATCATCATCGTTTCACGACCATCCCCAAACAAACATAGAACTAACCCCAGAACTGTTCCCCCTCCAAAAACCAAACAAAAAAAATACAAACCATGATGATAAACCATCGGCTAATCACCCACCAAATCTTGCTCTTGCAGCTTATAAAAAGCACGACAAAAAGCCTGGGGTCTGCATCCCCTGGGCATTTGGTTTCTCTACAGGGAAAATGAGCTCCCTGGAGCTGCACACCTTGAGGCAGCCCATCCTGTTAGCATTCAAAAACACATAATCACATAAGTGATTATATGCAGTGCTTTTATTAAGAGCTCTGGGAATCGGGGTGTTAGAACCCAAATCTGATTCCGACCATACGTCCGAGATGAACGTGTTTTTATACTCTATCGTTATAAAACTTTCATGTTAATTATTAAACTTATATTGTTCTATTGTACACACAGTTTTCAGCTAAAGATAGCCCCCTTAAATTTCCAACATAGTTTCTCATGATTCTTCTTATGGTTATATATAATCATAAATATAATATAATATAATATAATATAATATAATATAATATAATATAATATAATATAATATAATATAATATAATAATTATATTTCATTACTAAACAATCATCACATCTAACAATTATATAATTTATCATACTGCTTACGCAGGTGTGGAGATCTGAGAAAACACAAAGCCCAACATTTTCAAAGTTCTCTCTTTAACATTTTCCAGGGCTCCACTATCAATCCCACCCCCACGGAGCGCACTCCTGCGGCCTCACCGATCACACTGCAGAGCAGGCGCAGGCTGGTGGTGTCACCCTCGCCGCTGTCCCTGGGATTGTCCTTCCAGGACGGTGGCAGCGGGATCCGGAGGCCGATGGGGCGGTGGAACTTCCTCCGCCGCGGCTCCACGGTGACAATGGGGCTGAAGGTGGCTTGGTTCCCCAGCAGCTTGGTCACCAACTCATCAGGCACAGGCTGTGCCTGTGGGGAGCACAAGGAGGGACATCAGGGATGGTTTTTCCTCAGAAGCATGTCTGGGCCCCAGGCCAGGCTCTCTGAGGCTCACCTGCAGGGCCAGCCTCACTCTCTTGGTGACAGCAGCGTCTGGGAAGGTGGCCTGCACCATGGGCACCAGTGTGCTTTTCAAACACCCTCCCTCAGGGCCGATCATGTCGCAGTCCTGGCAAATCCGGGACATGACCACGAAGTAGAGAGGGAAGTCGGTGGTGATGATGCGGCAGACGCGCTTCTTGTCCAGCTCCTCCTGGCTCTCCAGCTCTGCAGGGGCAGCACAGCCATCAAACAGTGCTCAAACACCAAGCCTGTGGATGTCACTCAGTGCTCATACACTGAGCTTGTGGCTGTCACTGCTCATACACCAAGCCCATGGCTGTTCCTACTCATACACTAAGTCCATGTCTGTCACTCAGTGCTCATACATCAAACCTGTGGCTGTCAGTGCTCATACATCAAACCTGTGGATGTCACTCATGCTCATACACTGAGCTTGTGGTTGTCACTGCTCATACACCAAGCCTGTGGCTCTCACTCAGCACTCATACACCAAGCCTGTGGCTGTCACTCAGTGCTCATACATCAAACCTGTGGATGTCACTTGGTGCTCATACACCAAGCGTGTGGATGTCACTCAACGCCCCACCACGCTACACTGACCCCATCACTCAGCCCCACTCCACCTCCCAGACCACCTGCAGCCTGCAGGGTGCTGCCAGGTGAGCAGCCCCTGCCCTGCTGGCCCCTCACCCTCGTCCATGCCGTTGAGCAGCTGGTCCATGTAGCTCTCCTCGTAGCGGTTGCGGTGCTCCTTCCACACGGAGCCGTTCTCGCTGCGCAGCACCACCAGCTCACGGTCCCCACGCCCATAGGAGGCAAAGTGTGGGATCTCCACGATGACAGGGCTACAGAGAGCACAGGGAGGCCACTGGCACCCACAAGGACACGCAGGCAGCAAGGTGGCCCTGGGGAAGGAGTGCTGACCTCCCTCTCTCTGTGAAAGGGCTCTGCACCTGTGGCACAGGGCTGCTGAGGCTTTTGTGACACTGCTCTGTTACTCTTGAATGACCCATGACAGAAACATGCTGCACCCCACAAGAGGTGGGATGTCTGTCGCAGACATCTTTTATGGAAAATC